ACTACAGCCTGTACATACTTATAGTTATAGCATATTCATAACATACCTTCATACCGTGTACATTGTAACATACCCATAATAGACACATTTTTGTACCTTCATACCTATAACAGACCCATTTCTGTAATATATCTATATCAGTAGAGTAGGGTCTGCAAATCTTAATAAAATGTGTCTGTCATCTCTGTCACAACTACAGTTATGAATGAGTTATTTGCAAAGATATAAGAAGAAACATGGATTCACTGTTGAAAGTAATTACGTGTCACCAGTTAAATGCAGGAGATTTAGGGCGTATCAGGTGAAGTCAGACATTGTGGGCTCCTGTCTTAGCAAACCCATGTCTGCAAAACCATCATGTGTTCAGTGGAGTACGTGTTTCTTCATCATTACCTCATATGTGGAATGATGTCACTGCCTTTGATGACTTTCCTGGGTACATAACAAACTCTTGCTGTCACTACAGAGAAAACAGCAGGTGGTATCTCTAAAATATTAAGGCCTGAATCACACAAACCAATGGGGCGACCTGTGATTAAAGGCCTGAAGGTGTATTATCATTGAGAGACATGTGCAGGCACAAGCTGGTGATGAACGACTGCCCAAGACTTTATAGCCAACAACTGTAGGTCTGTATGCGTGTGTGTATGTGTGACAGCATACTGAAGCCACACTGGTGGTCTTTATCTTTTTTGAATAGTGTGGACAAAGCTGGATACAAAACATATGTGCCACTGCTGCTATTGACGCTAAATAATAACCTTGTATTTATATTTTGTGAATATCAATGAAGAAAACTGTCACCTGTGCAACAGTGTGCTTCACAAAGGTGTTGTTCTTAATAGTTTGTGGATACAAAAGCAATGAGTGGCAAGACCATTAGGATCTCAGATGCTTTACAGCAGAAAATCCTTTTTGTTAAAGCCTATGTGTTACATGTTTTTCTAATTGCACCAGTGTACATTACACCGACTGTACCATCATTCTCAATCATGTTTATATGTTTGAAAATGTGTTCTGTTGCACTGTGTTACTAAATCAAGCAGCTTCCTATGTATTCTCTCTGTGCTCAGTGATGTAGTTAATGAACAAGCCAGATGACGCATTTACTCCATGACACAAAGAATCTAAGACATTATTGGCTTTTTCCTGTCCTGTGCGTACAGTATGATAGACGTTGAATCGTCAACCAAAGCTTTGCAGCAGCCACATCACATTCTTTGTATAAAGCCGTAGTTTAGTTCAAATGTTCCTCACGTGTGTATTTTGGACTCACAGCTTGCTTTTGATGCTGTCAGTTATACCGAACTACTCTGTTAATCTACAGAAAATTATGTTTGACATTTGAATCTGGCCTTTCTCAGCGAAGATGATTAATTATTTGTCGATCACTCAACAGGAGATTAGAGCAGATACAGGCACTCAATATTTTGAGTGCAGTGCATCTCAAAATATCACAGTTGCATAATCACGACGCCACTTTTCAGCAATATTTTTTGCTTTTATAATATCCTGTATTGCATTAAATCTTTACAAGAAATTCAAGACTTTTGTACCCTATACATACACACATTTAGGTTACACACATTGTGGATCTTGAACCACAATGTCGCATGATGAGGTACTAAAAGTGTTTCTTACATTTCCATACAGGTTTGAAATTGAACATTATACATTTAACAGACCCACAATTCCTCAGCATCTGTTATGGATGAACAATTTATGGAAACATGAGCACTGTCTTGAAGTCCAGAGTACTTCTCCTGGTCGTGTAGTTTCTTTAAACCACAGTAATATTGGAGTTCAGGAAGTGTCCTGTTATTTAACAAATGACCCCAAATACATTGTAGCTCAGTGACACAGAACATGCTCAGTTGGTTGTCAAAGGTCACTACTTACTGAAAGCCGTAAAGTAATAAGACAGGCAGGTGCCAGCAGTCGTCTTTGGTCACATATCAAATCCTATTTAAAAATGATCTTTGATATTAAATATCCTTTATACTGAAAATCATATTTGCTGATCTTCACTGACAAAACTCCAAAGAGTCCATATGTCTGTTTTGACAAATAACATTAATGATTAATTGATGTCCTTAATTAATCATTAATGACCTTACTGTAATTAGAAAGGCCTCCTGGGAAGTTTAGCTCAAACCCAGATTTCATCTTGAAGCAGCTTCAGTTTAAAATCTCGGCATCAGTTTAGTAAATTCTTGAGTAGAACAATTTTCAGTGAAGAACTGCACCAGTAAGTGATACAAAGGCTGGACTATCAATGAGAGACAGATCAGGCCATACATGTTCCAGCAGGGGCAGCAGGAAAGTGGTTTTTCTCTTGTCCTCTTGTCATCCTCTGATGAGCACACCACTTTCCCAGATAAGGCAATCTGTTGTAGAAAGTCTGCCCCCCTTATTTGTTACTAAGCAACACCAATATGTGTTTAAAATAAATATTAATTTGTTCTTTACAAAAACAAAAAAAAAACCCTGTTATTTTCATTTTCTGGCTGAGTCACAGGGGAGGCTGACCAAGCAAACATGACCAGACTTCATAAATGAAGCTAACTATACCATTTTAATCAAAATACATTATCATCATACATTAAGTACAAGGTTAGTACACAAAGACAACATGCTTTATTCCCCTAAATACAATCTAATAATCTGTTAGGCTGCTTACCCCTCATGTGTGGTGTCGTTTCCACAACTGAGTTCTCATTTTCTTGATTCACCTAGTTATATGAGAACCAAAAAACCAAATACAAAAAACAAGCATCTAGTCCTTTTTATAAATCGGTGGTAGTGGGAAATAAAACTTCATGAATTTTTAACAGAAAACAACTTGGACCTTCTTTATATTTGCAAAAAAAAGAAAAGAAAAGAAAAGAAAAGAAAAGAGCCACAGTTTGCAGGGGGGTCAGAAGTGGGTGGGGTTACAAGCCACACGCTTGTGTATTCCCACTGATATTCCAACACGTTCTCACTCCCAACTGGATGTTGCTTCAAGAAGAGTGTCTGATGTAATACCCTGTGCCAAACCACATATTTTATTGTTAACCTCAAAGAAAATCTATTGAATAATGTTGCCTTGACATATTCTTAGACTTTGAATTTAGTTTGTGTGATATATAAATAAAACGTTGCTACTAATAGCACACAGTCAGTATTGGAAAATAAAAAGAAATCTCTAAAAGGGGATTTTATATTATATTTAAATTATCTTCTCGTATTAGTTTATGTCTTATTATTACAATATTTCTTTACAGATGTAAACAACAAATGATTTCAAATTTAAATGCTCTCTTCACAAAGTTTTAAATGCTTATGAGAAAATTAAGAAACCAAAAGCATTACACACACACTCACAAACACAGCTCACTCCTAATGAGGAGTTCTGACACGAACGGTGACGCACAGAGTGACGAAAAGGGGGAGCGGACAGCATGTGGGAGATAAGGGCTCGAGGCATATTTTAAAGACGTCACAGGTAGCAGCTACATTTGGATGGCTGACACTTGGAGTGAGGAGAAACTGTCCCAAAAAGCTACAACTGTGCTCAACTCAGTCAATTGAAATCACAATTTTTGTGCCATATTTGGTAAAACTGAAAATACTAATCTGAGGCACATTTCCTGGATTGATTTCCTGATGCAGTTTTATCTAGAGTTTTATAAACAACAACAAAATGTGTTCAGGGAATGAGTCTTGTACTTTGCCAAGTGCTAGAGATCAATAATACTAATAATATTTCATCAGTTGTCTCTTATGTCCTCTTTAATATCTCATTATCTCTCTTTGAAGTGTCAAAAACACTCTTGTTTTTTTATTGTCACATCTTTCTTTTTAACAATTGTTTAATATTTAATATTATTTGTT